ATTTGCAAAAAATAGTAATGCGAACGATGTTATCTCATTAAACTACATATTGATAATGGTCTGACTTGTACATAATTAAATTGTAATACTTGTCTCATTAATTATATCTGGATATCTTTGCATTATCGATTAAGCCATTTGCAAAACGAACCCCTCAGCAAATAAAATAAATCATTGGCTGGGTCTTAGAATTAATATATATAACAGTTAATATATACGAATATCATAAACCTATTATATGTATATACAGTGAAAAAACAGTAGTAACTAATAAAAAGAGAATGATAGTATTATCAAAAAAAATCAGTAATTCCATTTTGTCGAATATGATTCCCTCTTTTTAAAATGACAGCCTAACCTGAGCATGAAGTGATGCGTCCGTGATTGTTTCTTGTAGAATAATTTCCCATTTCGAAACAATAATATTTGCGGTTCTGCAAATATTCAAACCCGAATTCGAGTTCAGTTAGATGTCCGAGTTCACTTTGAAAGCGGCATCCGCTCAATCTTGAATTGGTTTCGTGGCATAAGTGAAGTGAGTTTCGAAATGATATAATAATAGAATATTTGAGACACGTATAATAAAAAATCCAATTAATTAAATCAATAGAATTTTTTCACTAAATGTCGTGAAATCAGACACGTGGCTGAATTCGAATTTGGGTTCTGATATTTGCAGAATCGCCCTGCAGATTTTAGGGTTAATGTGCTCTATTAGTTTAAAGTAGCGTAAATCCTTTGTTTCAACATCACCCGAACGGTGGACACTAGCATTGTCTTCAATGACAATTCAATTTTTTACGAGAGCAGCCACTAGTAGGTAATTAAAAACGTGACAGGTGTCGATGTGTACTCTTCAGTATTCAATTTCCTATGACAACTTGTTCTATAGTTTATAATCTTAGCTCATATAATGTTAATTGCTGATCAAAAGTAAGGGTTGTGGTTTGAAACGTGAATAAAATGAGTAGTCCATTATTATCTAAGAAATAATGCAGAAGTAACACCATGTCTGCGATCAATAGTTTCGGAGATACGGTGCTTGTGGAACTACTGGTAGTCGGCCGAAAACGCTCGCTACAAATTCAAGGCACAAACTGACGTCACACAGTGCAACGGCAATGAAAAAAGTATGGGCATTGGGCAATCCTTGAAATATCTTTGTTATTTGTACGTTTATGGACAAATAACAAAGATATTTCAAGGATTATCATAGCAGTTACAATGAAAGTTGTTCTGTTTTATGTAACTAATTTAATGCCATATGTATTTTAGCAAAATTTTGTAACATATTTTCCCTACATTTTCAAGTTTTGAAAGAGTATTATTTTCCAAATAAGCCACATATATTTATTTTGTTAAATATTTTTAAGTTAAAATGGTCCATATTTTCCGAACATTTTTACTTATAGGACATAACCCTAATGTGGCAGTGAATTTACTTTCCAAAATTAGTGATTTATAAAACTCTGGTTTCCCTTGAAAACGCATAAATCTAATAAACTTTCAGTGATCTATAACTTTTGACATTTATGACCTGCCCTGCAATTCTGTAAAAATCCAATACCCGAATTCGAATTCAGTCAAGTGTCCAAATTGACTTCAAAGAGCGGCATCCGCTTAACCTTAAATTGGTAATAACATTTCGTGGCATAAGGGAAGTGAGTTTCGAAATGACATAGAAATAGAATAACTAAGACACGTATATTTAATAAATTTTGTTTTGTATTTTTATACAAAAAAATTAAACCAATAGAATTTCTACATGTGAATTCGAATTCGGGTCTGGATTTATATAGAATCATAGGGCTGTTATTGAATTAATGATGCCATTAGATTCATAATTTGAACGCGATCATATGTATAAATTGTGAACTTCAGCCAGGTAATGTTTTTAAATCATAAGATGAGACTAAGACTTGTATGTATTATTCTAGACAAGCTATTCGGTTCAAGTAACGGTTTCTGTATTGTTTGAAATAGGTAGTGATAATTTTATTAACATAATTGGTTGGGGATTTTTTTTTTATTTTATATGAAAAATTAAAACATTTTTTAAATAAAATTTTATTAAAATTTGATTCTCTTCTTCAAAAATGGTTCGATTTAATTACGACGTAATAACGAATCACAAATGAGTTCATTAGGTTTCTTTCAATGAGCTCGTGAGATTTTCAAATATTCAACTTTTTTAAATGCGCCATACTGTTTTGTGGTCAATCCCAAGTTGTTCAGCTACATTGTAACTACTGATATGCTGATCTTCACTTTTTCAAAAATGGCATCAATGAAATAGGGCGACCGGAGGACGTCTTTCACATCAAAATTTCCAAATCAAATTTTATGCTACTCTCACAGAAACTGCACTAGCTCCGTCATACATTTTTTCGTGGCTTTGCGTTGCATTTTTACCTTTTTTGTAACAAAATTTTAAAATGTATTGAATTACTTCATTAGATTAACTTATTTTGAGTAAGAAAAATATATCAAAATTACACTTTTTCCTAATTTGAATTCGGAGTTATAATTTTTAAAATTCAAACTTTTTTATAATACCGAAATCAGCGAGATTGAAATGGTATAGCCAGAAAGATTTTATTACAAGTTTATCATACTATATGCGAATAGACTTTTTCCCCAACCTAATATGAGTACTTTAACTACATACTCAGATTGAAATACACTGAAACATACGTGATATAATATCTCATTACTTTTTCTTTAATTCACAGATCCAGCAGTGTTGGATCAATTCAAACTCGAGATGTCGTACGGTGTCGAAAGGTTTTTCCTACTCACGTACTGCTTGGCTTGTTGCTGGTCAGGCCTGGGAGCTAAAACAGATTTGAGGGTGGTAAGACAATGGTCGGAGCTCGAGTTTGTCTTCCCTAGTGATGAAGCCCGTTATAATGCAATGCAAAAAGAGTTCTATGTACCTGGAAACTCGGTCCCAATTGACTTGGATGTTCAACATAGACGAGGTAATGTACCTACTTACTTTGTATCTAATAATTTATAGTTTATTTAAAAAATGTGATATACGAAACAAGATTTAATCAAATATATTGTATTGATTAAAATTACGTTAAAGTCACAATGGAAACTACTCTTAAATAGGGTTGTCAATTAGGAACTGGTAATACTTATAGTGTTGTTATCTTTATTGTGATCCAGAGTGGGATGACGCTCTTCACCAGTATTTATTAACAATTTGAGATCGAGTTTTGTTTCATATTTAATTGAAACATTTTTGTCGCGCATTTCTAAACTACAATATTTCAACAGTGGAAATTGTTATTTAAAACTTATTTATTGAATTTTTGTCACACCAGTTTTATTCAAATTTACAACCGGCATAACATGACGAGTTCAAACTTGCTATAAGAAATAGTTTATTTTTTCTTGTCAATGTCAACTATAATTTTGCGATTGTATCATGCCATCAACCTGCCAATAATACAAATTTTAATATTTACAATTTTAATATGAACACATACAGAACACATGCTATATATTTTATTGGAGGTAACGTAGTGACTATAGTAAATATTTTTTTTTACTGTGTTTTTTAATGAAAATGTGCTAGGTCTTTTAGATATCACTATGAGGTAATTCTAGCTAGTTACCGATAGAATAATTTTACTTGACAATAATAAAAGCAATTCATGCTATATCTAAATGTGTGCGAAATGTCGCCTGTTCCGGTCTAATTAACAGATAATTTTATGGAAATTTTATACCTTTTACTAATTAAACTAGAAGCCTATCACATTGACCCTAAAATGTTGTAAGCTGTATAAACGGTTTTAGCGATAGTTACCGATAAATAAATATTGTCGTCTGAACGTTAGGATCATTGTAACTATAAAATCTTATTTACGTATAAAACTTATTGAATTGAATAGAAAATAATGCGTAGAAGTACAATTTATTGTTACATAGTTAACAACATTATTTCAGACTTCAAAATGTTTTTATTTAGAGGTATGAGTTTTTGGTATTAATTAAAAATTATTTAAAATAACAATTAAATTTACGTAATCATGGATTTTTTTTTCTGTAGAAAGTGTTTTTTATCTGAAAAACTACTTATATGATACAATGAACAAGTTTTATATTTGAGTACGGTATGCCGAATTGTTACATGTAAACAAATTAACACAAATCAATGCTTAGGATTAAAATATAACAAAAAAATATCGATTGTCTTATAATTCCCGCGTAATTGGCCGTGATTATTGTTGGTAACGTGACCAAGACATCTACGGCTGCATACTATATCCGGTAGATAAAAAAATTGCCTTATAAATTCGACCTAAAGCTAACGCATTAAAGGCTAAGTATGCCTCACAATGTTTCCAATAAAATATTCATTCTAATAAAACAATAAAAACATGATTGTCATAAAAACATGTTTTATTTATCGTAAATCCCACAACACTTAACCTTTACCTTTATTTTATGTGTGCGGCTATAACAAAGTTATGGTTTTATTGTAAAATTACAATAAAATCATAACTTTGTCCTAGAGTACGTAATGATGGTAAATAGGTTACAATGATTTTTACTCTCATACGATGGATAAAGTTAATCTTAAATATATATTTGGGGCTCAACTATGGCTCACTGAATCATGTCTCAATTTAATCAATGTTTACGTATTATTTATGACCTGCCAATGACATATTTCGTATGATTTAATGAAAAAGCGAAAAATAATGAGATCTATTATTGATGCCACAGATTGATGTCATTTCTCGCACGCACGCTTATAAATTGTTTTTAACGTTTTCACCGGTTCAAAAATGAAAATCTTTTGCTATGTTATTTTAATTTCAATTTCAAACCTCAACAGCCGCAATGGAGTGAGATTATTGTCAATGGTGCGGCAGATAGTGTGGTAAACCACTGTTGAATAAATCTCATTTATTTAAATGCATAACTATTAAAAAAAAGTCGCACGAATTAACATGACACCTGAGCCTACTCTATTTGTCATCGAAAAATTTCGGAAAATTTCGTATCGTTCTTATAATTTTGTTAAAACCAGATTAAAAAAGGCAGTATCAGGTCTTAATGCCGTAACGTTATAAATTATCTAAAAATGCTTTTCTTTGGAGTCGTATTAGTGTTTAGAAAATTGAAGAGATTTTGTTTTGGGAGAAATAGTATGGTCTTCAGATGTCATGTTAATTCCTACAAGTTTTTCCATTATTGTTTTAAATTGTCATGCATTCGTAATCATGCAAAATTAAAAATCTTTAATGTCTAAACTGATAACATTTGTTTACTCTATAATTCGCGTATCGAGGTCTTGTGATGTCACTAAGAAGAAATATGCTTATTTAATTAACCATTTATCAATGCTATGGTACGTTTTAATGTATAAGTCACTGTCGTTACTTTATGTCGTTATTTTGTTCAATGTGATTGATGGGTGTAAAGATATTACAAAAATCCAGCTGTACTTATATTTTTGTATTACAAATGAAAATAATTGTTATTTATTTATTTTTCTATTACAGGTCAGCAGAAGTCACGTATTTTCATAACTATACCCCGATTTGACATCGGTCGACCGGTGACTTTGGGCACGGTGGATGAACTGGGACGCATCACGGGATACCCCGACTACTCCTGGCATGACAACCAACGTCACAATTGTGAAGGCATGACATCAGTTTTTAGAACAGCAGTAAGTATATGAAGTGTTTAAAACATTTTATGTCCTTTTTTATAGTTAAGTTATAGGTGGAAGTAGGTTAAGATAAATGTAATTATGTCATTTTTATTACCTGGCAACATACATACTCGTCGAACATTGAACCTCCTTATCGTTTTTGAAGCCGGTTAAGTAGAGATAGATTACATCCAACCTATATTTAATGCTTTAATATTTTGTTTACTTTATTATCAGATCGATGAATGCAACAGATTATGGGTAATGGACGCGGGAAAGATCGGTGACATCCAGTACTGTCCCCCGCAACTGCTTGCATTCGATTTGGACACCGACACACTCTTGTACAGGCATGTCGTCAACGCCTCTAGCTACATCGCCACATCACTTTTCATCACACCAGTAAGTTGTGATTTGTGAATACAGGACATTACATTTTGGCAAGGGAATTTTTGTTGATTTGTTCGTCAGATAGAATATTGAACTTTTTTTTGTAATCAATAAATTACTGCGATATATCGCGTTGAAATGTCGTATGACCTTGTAAAATATCGTATGTCGTACATCTTTGTACTATTGTATGTATGTATCGTATTTGGTTACATCGTTGATATCGAGGAATCCTGCTAAGACTGTAGGTAGGTAGATAGGTAGGTCACCCAATCAGGTTATGAGATGGGTTTCGCCCGGTCATTACCGGGCGTAGATTGAAATAATTGGGAAAACCCCATCTCTAATTAGGATCTTTTATAAACTTAACGATGGAATAAAAGGTTAAATATAAGAACATTTTGAAGTTTTAAAACTTTATATGTTTTCGCTTCCATTCAATATGAAAATTATATATTCCTTGATTTATTTTACAAAAAGAAAACAATTATGTAGATTGTACGAAACGGGGTGGGTTGCTAGTAGGTATTATAATTTGTATGAATTGAAATTATTTATTATACTAGAGATTGAGTAGATTTTATTGTAATTTTAGGCATGATGTATAGTTTTATAAGATACTAATGCTAGCTCCTTGCAGGCGATATGACGATGATTTTTTAGTCGCTAGGGTTCCATATAAAAAGGAACCTTATTACTAAGACTGCCGACTATCTGTTGGTCGGTCTATCTGTTATCAGGCAGTTGAAATTTTCACAGCTGATGTATTTCTGTTGCTATTAAGTATAACAACAAATATAATCATAAAAACCGAATAAAAAAAATACTACCATAAAAAAATGAGTTTTTCTTGCGTATTTTATAAACAATGGGAACCTTCACACGTTAGTTCAACTTGCAAATGGCCAAATTCTTAATAAATTTTGTGTTTACATATTACGCAATTCAAACATTTTCTCTTTTGTGTGAACAGGTAGTGGACGTGCGCGGCTCTGGTCCCGGTGATTGCGGCGACACTTTTGTGTACGTCGCCGACGTGTCAGGGTTCGGGATCTTGGTCGTTGACGTCGCCAACGACCGCTCGTGGCGCGTCACCCATCGACTCATGTTCCCCTTCCCAAACCACGGAACATTCACAATAGAAGGTAAACCTACAACTATTTCAAGACTTTTGAAATCTATTTACTTAGGTATAAGTTATGTTGAATAAACTGCAATAATTGTAATACTATTTTTATTACTATTCTAACTACTAATTTATGATACAGTGGAGGTAGGAACTGACACTGTCTCTAATGCACAGTTAATTATTTTAACAAAATTATAATAATCATTCGAAATTTCTCAAATTTTCGTTAGAGGACAAATAGAATAGGCCTAGAGGTGACGTTACTTAGGACTATTTGTGCAAACGAAGTATGTAAAAACCGTCTTGGGGGACTCGGTTTTTGCTGCGTACTACATGTAGATAGATGTTTAGATTGTTATTACTTTGAATAAGGATGAGGCCTGGGTAAAATAAACTATTCAGTTGATCAGTCAGATAAAAGAGAATTATAAGATACGTATTTTTTGTTTCCATTTAAAAAGAAATGACTTAGATAATACATTAAACTTGAAGAGTGGGAAAATAAAAGTTGTTTAATATCCCTTAATAATCTACCTGAAGGATAGAAAAAAAAAATATCTCCATCATAGTAATTGCATGATGTAATTTATATAACATTTCCAGGTGAGAGTTTCGACTTGATGGATGGCGTTCTTGGCATGGCACTGTCTCCATATAGACCCGGTAGGGACCGCTACTTGTACTTCCATGCGCTAGCTTCCGTCACAGAGAACGTGGTGCGCACGAAAGTGTTGCGCAATGATTCCTTCATTGAGAACCCTAATGCTGAACCTAAATCAATTAACGTAAGTAATGAAAAAAAAACTCACTCAAATCAGCTTACATTGATAAAATTATTAGATTTTTATCATAATTCGATTCCTAAACAAACTCTTCAATACAATTAAATTGTAAGCTTCACACAAATCTCGATTTTACAACACAAGAAAACAAATGAAAATGTTGAGGTAATTTTACTTAGAACATAAATGGGCATCATATACAGTTAATAGCAAAACTGTCAAATAAATCTAATGTTAAACTCCAATACAGTTTTATTAGTCATATATTAATAGGTTTTCATAACCGGTTTTGAAATTTGATTTTATGGTAACTGCTTTTTAAGGAACGACAAATATTTAGTTACAATAAATATAAAACATAGAATACTTTATTTTTTTTAACATAAGACAACAACATCGCATATATTGCTCAGATTCCAAGATGAGTAGCTAAAGCCTTCGTATTATAGAGTATATCAGACAACGAAGGTACCACAAAACCGAGGCCCAAGACAATATAGAAAAGTCCATTGTCCACATTGATTCGACCGGAAATTGAACTCGGTACCTCGGAGATTGCGACACCTCGAAACCGGCGTGCGAACTAATCAGCCACGTATAACACTTCGAGTAAATTCGCTAAATACCATACGTAATTGTACCTTATTATAATTTCAGGCTTTTCCTGATGAACGGCCAAACCAGGCAGCAGCCGAAGCAATGGATCGCAATGGTATTTTATACTTCGGTTTGATGGAGCCACCTAGCATTTGGTGTTGGAACTCAGCCAGTGAATTCAAGAGACGTAACTTCCATCAACTCGCCGTGAACAGAGAGACATTGCAGTTTGCCAGTGGAGTCAAGGTTATAAATAACTTGAAAGGTGAACAAGAATTGTGGGTGCTGACTTCAAGCTTTCAGAGAGTCATGACTGGAAGTCTCGACAACAGTAGAGTCAACTATAGAATTCACGCAGAGAAGATTAATAACTTATTAGCTAACTCTCCTTGTGCGAATGTCCCAAAAGGACAGAACCATGGCTACCAAGCCAATTTGATAATACCGTCAGAGGGTTACCAACGTGGAACGCTAAGGTATGGCGCTGTCTCCTATCTTTAGAGCTTCGTGCATTGTCTGACCACATGTTTAACGCCCCCGTGTGGCATCTCTGGCCATAAGTTCACCAATATTATTATTATAATAAACGTTTATTATTTATTGTACAAAATAGAGTTTTCTTTAATTTTTCCAAAGAACCTGACATAATTTCGGTGATAGTATATAAAGAAAAAAAAAAGAAATAAAAATTCATCTCAAAATTTATTAGTTAAATGACACATTTATTGACATTGTTTCCAAGACTTACAAAGATTGCTTCAAAATATCAGTATACCTTTGAACTTTCCTTGCGATACTCATATCTATATGCTTGTCTTCAACTCCCACAATCATACCTCCTATGATAGAAGGATCTACTTTTTCCGTAAGTTGAATTTTTTTGTTGCCTTTTACGAATTTTTGTAAAGCATCCATGAGTGAACTCCTGTCGTTGCTATCCAAAGGCTTTGCCGTGATCACTTCACACAGAGCTTCATTCCTGTGAGCTACCATTACCGCGAGGAACATGGTAATCATACGTCTTAGTTTTTTTAAACGTCCATTTTCAGCTACTAAGGATAAAAAGTTGATAGCTGCCGCCGGCATACCTGTGTTTGGTAAGATGTTAATTATACAAAAAAAAAACTCGAATATTAATCAAATCGTTCAGTTCAGTAGGTTTAAGTGATGTAAAGGATACCTATGAAATATTTTGGCTGTTGCAATGATCCTTGATTGAAACTGGCGCGCATGTATACAATATTTCATAATAAATGTGTGTGTTATAATTATTAATATTATTTCCGTAACGCTGATGTGACTCTATAGAAATACATAATTTATGACACAACGGAGGCAGAACCTGACACTGCATCTGATGCATAGAAAATATTCAGGGACGTTATCTAATTTAAAAAAAAATACAAGCATCATTCAAACGAACGCAAATTTTTATAAGTTTCGCTCGTGAACAAACAGAGAATGACTTATGTTCATGCATTAGTTTTAATAGTGCAATAAGTAGTCTTACTAATTTTCTCTATAGACTTTGTACATACCTGCTTGCTGACCAACTTCTTGCATAAGCTTTGCTTTAGCTACGGAAGATATCATACTTGTTTCTATGAAATCAACAACAGTAGGTTTGAGCAGCTCCTTCTGCAAAGCTCTGAGATGTTTCTCTACATCATCAATTTGCTGCATTTGGAGAGCAGCACTGTAAAGCGCAGTCACATAGCGACCTTCCACACCTTATATGCAGTTTAGAAATGTAATATTAGCAAATTATGAACAAGGCATCGAAAACTTAAGCATCAAAAAGAAATCGTCTCTATTGAATTTTAAATAGCACTTTTTAATATTTTTACACAAGTCACTGACCATCAAAACTTGCAAATCAGTTTATGAGTTTTGTTTTAACAATATCTGCAGAAGTCATGAATACAGTACGTCCAATGGTAAAAATAAAATTTAAATAACTTACCAAATACAGGGATCGGTGGTTTGGTATTTTGAGCTGATGATTGATGTCTACATAATATTTTAGTTAATCCGAACACATAAAATGATGATTTGCTGCGTATTATTACATTCATTTTGAATTAACACTTTCAAAATTAATCAAACCTAAAATGAAATGATGACATTGTTTTAAGATTCAATTATTCTCTTTGCTTGCGAATATCTTTTATACTCAATTTCTTTATGGTTAATCTTGGAATAGGAATATGAACTTTTTGCTCGTGAATAATCTAAGTATCTTGGTATATGTGTGCTAAGATCTTTTACATTATACAATCTTATTATATTGGAATATTGTGTGGGTTCATTAAATATGTGTTTGGTTATAGGTATTTTAATACTTATGGTGTATTTACAATAATGTACTTATTTAATTGCTATTATAGACGTGGTTTAGTAGTGCTCTCAAAAACATGAGGTTGTCACGGAAGACCAACATCGGGCTGTTTGAGATATCCGACAAGAGCTAAGTGGTTGCTTTTTCAGACTCATGAGTATAATTAGTAGGATGATTTTTTGTTTTTGTTTTCTTCTATTTATGAATGAATATACTTTATTGCACTTATCAAACATATCCATAAAGTATGTACATAAAACTAAATAACACAAAATATCGTTAAGATAATAATGTCTACCAGGCGATCTTAGGTCCAAGGAAATAATAACAAAAAAGAAAATTAACTGCAGGTTAGTGCATTACAAAAGAAACTGGAGAACATTTATAAAAGTAAATACACAATCGAAATGAAATAAATAAAACAAAAGAGAATAAAGTAGTAGATAAAGTTCAGGTGGAAAAGTCCAACTTAAAGAAATGTTCTTTTATCGATTTAATAAATGAGTTGTGTGATTGCTCGCGTTAATTCCTTCAGTCAGATAATAAAAAAATCTAATATTTTTCTAATATAAATATAGATAATCTAATATAGGTACTTTTTTTTACTTCAATTTAACAAGAATCAGTTAAGATAACAGGCATTAAAGTTGAGGAGTAAGGGCTTGCTACGCAACAGTTTTGTAGAAAATAGTCAAAAGCGTGCCGTGGTGTGATATTTTAACTGAATTTATCGCCTTAATTTAATGATTACAAAAAAAAATGCGTGATTAATATGTTTCAACAATCTACCTGATTGAAAAACAAACAAAAAAATAGCCGTCATCTTTGTTAGATTTCTCCACCAGAAAATGACTTGGCTACAAAATCAGTAGTGTGGGAAGGGGTAACAAAGGATAAGTAATAGATTTCGAGTAGAATTCGAAGAGTGAAAAACTAAGCGCCCGTAAAGGTAATGCAGAGTGTATGGGTGAAAAAGGGTGGAATTTAAGAGTGACGATATGACAGTCATCCACGAAAGATAGATAGCTATTAAAACAGGGCTTATTAATCCGAGATATGATCATACTTACGTAGTTAATTCTGGAGACGCACAAGTTTGTATAGGAAAGCGATACTTCGGTCTGAATAATATAGTCAAGCAGTGAGAGAAGAAGGAACTGCGCAAAGTGATTAAAATCTTAGCCGGCAAAAGTTTATTCTGCATATTATCTCACTGAATAAATTATTTTCTATTTTTTCTAAACAAAATAACAGCTACCTTAATAGAATTTGTTTTAATCTAATTTTTATTAAAACAAAATTGAGAAGTAAAAAGTTGACATAGCAAATTAATACATTTTGTATTATTTTTATTTCAAAGATTATTATTACAGTAATACATCATACTGGAACGCCTGATCAGTTTCTAGAAGTGCTCGAACGTACATAACTAACGATCCTAGTGCCATTGCAGACGTTAAGGAGTTACATGTTCCTCCATCTGAGGATGCTGCTTTCTTCAATCGGTACTCCTCCTTTAATGAGAAAATAAAATGATCTACATAGCATCTCTAAAATTCACTTACGTGGATGTTGTAACCTTACGTAGCAACCCACTAATAAATAAGCTATAAAACCAGTTTTCAACCAATTCGCGTAGGCATATGTGGGAAATCAAAAATCAAAAAGAGTACTTTCTGAAGTATACGTATTTTAGACTTATTTTACGAAATATGAGATTTACATTTACATTATTTAATCTGTAGGTTATTACGTCATGTAGTATAGCTGTTAGGGTATAAATTAATGAAAATAAACAAAACATTAGTTTATAGATCTTGAATTCATTTTCACTTTCTTGAAATTAATTATATTAAAATAATTAAAATATAGTTAATGCATATGATTTATGGATAACATTAATACCTCTCTTTCTTTTGGAGGTGGACTAGCAGCAGCACCGATGAAACCTGTCAATTTTAAAAACGGCTGCCTGTCATCCGCATAACATCCTTTTGGTTCTTGCCAGGATATAATTTTGTTCATCCACCGAGGCTTTATGAATTCTCCGTAACCTTGGGACGCGCAAAAGAAAACTGAAAATATAATAATAAAATTAATATATAATAGATAAAATTAAAATAATAAGTCATTAAAGAAAGAAATGTGTAGGTTTATATATCAGAAATTTTAACATACTCTGTTGCATAAATAAAGTTCTAGTTCCAGCTGGATGGTCCCAAGATTCTAATGACTTAGTTTCCTTGTAAATTTGTATGCACAACTTGTAAATGTGCGCAGACAAGTCAGTGCCTTCCATACAGTCAAATAGTTTGGCTAATACAGCAGCACGCATGCGACTAGTTTGTTGAAAAGCCAATCCCGAACCCTGCATCAACTGCGTATTGCATTCAGGTGTCATTTCACAAGTACCTTCAGTTTGGGTGGTCTGTAACTCCATAGCGGAAATCAATAGCTGCATCGTACAAGCATCTGCAATGTTATTTTTTATTTAAATTACATAAAAATGGGCTGAAATGGTTTTCAGTTTGGTAATTACAGACTGATTTCAAACAGCGCCACTGTGTGGTCGATAGAAGGTACTAAAAGACGTCAACCTTATGTGAATCGAAGCGTGTCAGGGTTTTGGATAGTCCGTTGTTGAAATTGAAAAGTTTACAATTAAGTACAATTCATAACGAGAAAGCTGTTATACGTATAGGAATCTAAAAAAGAACTGATATATTTTTGTTGTTTAGATAGTCATTCTTTAGACATAATACTTGTCTAGTTATTACCTCTGCGTGTTTAGAAGATACTCATTAAAAATAAAATATTATATTCAGAAGATGATAAACACCACTGAGGTTCTCATCTGTAAAAACTAAACCAAGAACAGAAAAGCTATCATGAATATAGTAGCTTATTCGTTATGTTGTGTACTTAATTTTAACAAAGCGAAAAACAGAGCTACAACTTTAAAATGAATTAATTTTCATTTATGTAAATATACATTACTTAATTAAGGTTCATTCACACCTGCTGCTTTCCTGGTCGGCATTTTGGTTCTCGCTTCTTGCACATATTGTTCAAAATTAAAACGGTATGGCTTTTGTGTGCCCATTGTTCCAAGTGTTATTGGTTCCATTAATGATGCCATCACCTCCATATTCTCGAAAATTGCTTTTACTACTGTATATGGAAAAATGAAACCAAAATGTAATCATACGAAGTTCCGTCGATCTTTTGTTTTCATAAACATATGTTCGCTAATGTCTTAGATGTTGATTTGAAAGTAAAGGGAATAAAAACCGCGTCAGCTATCTTTCAATTACGTGAAAAGGCAAAGATATTTACCTATCACTGTTGTCAATTGTCAGCTAAATATTGGAAATAAGGGAGCATATTGCTTGCATTGGTGAGCATTTGAGCAATAAATTATTAAGCATAATAGGTACTGTAACGTCCGTGCACATTACTATATGTAGGGTTTACTCTTCGGATGGTTTATGGTCTAGTGCTGGCCGTTAATATTTCAAATTATTACTTTTCGTATTCGAATTCGCGTGTTCGTGTTTTGCTGGTTGTCAATCTTCCCTTTCTGATCGAGACCAGCTAAGAGTGAGCATCATAGTTTTTGGTTGTAAGTGTGCTAATGTAATACTAATTGAAAATAAATCAAGACTGAGAAGTTCTACCAGTTTTTTCATTGCGCCACCCACCTCCACCATTAGGCTAAGTCGCCAGAGTACTTTATTTCACTAACACTTATTCAAGATGCTTCTGAACTGTAAAACTAGGTACAAAAATTATCATATATTTTTGGTAGCATCTTGGTTCACTAAATAACACATACACGCTTTATTTATGACCATATATCATCTTATTGTAATTAACTTAAATGGCTAACAATTCGCCAACGTTGGGACTTGAGAGTCCTTCTACTCTTTACTCTATAGTTAACGATCGACGTGCTCCTGGATATATGAAACGTAAGTTTCAATATTTGAGTACCTCTCACAATCGAAATATTTGCTTAAACAGCAAACTATCTCTTCTCACTCCTTTCCACCGAACCGGTTTTATCAAACTCATTTACTTTTTAGTCAATGCTACTCTGGAACGCACTCCCTATCAATATACAGAAAACACCAAATAACATCTCCTTCACACTACTTGTTCGTGAACATGTATTAAATTCCTCGTCCTCATCTGGTTAATCCGTGGATCCATAGAGATGGATGGATTATGTTAATTTATATATAATTATGTATTTATCTATTTATGTATATAATATAGTTAGATGTAAATATTTGTGGAACATAGTTGATCTTTGCGCACATTATCTGTATACAACTCTCCAGATGACTGGTAGAGAATGACATAACGCATTAAAACCGCCATTTGGTGTAAAAGGTTATGCAAAAAAGGCAAAATATCTCCTAAATTTGAAATAAAATAACACGCATTAAAATTCGATTGAACTATTATAATTTATATAATGTTCTTTATCTATTTATTTGGGCAAATTTCTGGTAGTCTCTTATCATAGAGTGCCAAGGAGAATCCTTTAATTAGCCCCTACCAATATTATAAATCCGAGAGTAAAACTATAAACCTTGTATTTAGGCACTTTAAACGATATAAATAAATATTTATCTTAGAGTTTCTATGATTGCTGCCAAATATAAGTACCTATATCACAATGGCGAAATCGCGGGCAAAAGTTAGTATATAATATTTTGCTATTGAATATTATATTTAGATAAGTCAGTTTTAGCTAGAAAAAAAAGGTATTTACAAATATTTTTTTAAACTACATATTAAATTCGGGCTAGTTTTAAGATTCATTTAGTCAATTATATTGCTATGAAGAAAAAACAAAATAATTTTTCTCATCATAGAATTTCAATGAAATCTATTGGAAAGGGTCATAAAGGTTTTATTTCATTGAAGCTCTAGGATGTGACAGCACTGTTTGAATGACGACTTTAATTTTTAACAGAATAGCATACACTGCTACTAACTTATCTGACCCGTTGGCCAAAATTGGAACTTAGGCGCTATAGTTTTGAGTTGTCATCATTCTTTACTTTTTGTGTCAGCTTATCGTTGTGTACGACGCATGGTATTTTTACTTTGTTTGTATTTTATTCAAATAAATAATGCCGAACGCTTCAAAATGTAATGGCTTTCACTACCAAAGTAAAAAAGCAGAGTTTATAAAATACCATAATATGAAGTAAACGAAATACTGGATTTGAGTGAAATCTACAAGGGCGACGCCATTAATTAAAAAGAAGAAGAAGAAGAATGCCGAAAGCGTTGATAAGTGACGCAAGAAAACATGACTTTGAAAGTGTTAGCTTCAAAAAGTATGGTAATAATATGGAAAGTTAGCTTTTATCCAGGAGGCATGAAGAAATTAATTGATTCACTTGACATTGGCAGAATTGTGTGAAATGCGCAGATAAGCTATTAATAAAAGAAGAAAAAATGCATCAAAGCACCGATAATATCATTTGAAAAATTGTACGAACGAGTAGCTGTTGTTACAAGTTAGTGTTGCTGGTTGTTGCTATGAATAATCCCTTCGTTTTATTTAAATTTATTGGCATGATAACATTTGAATGAAAATCTCAAACTGTGGATGTGTGTTCGTTTTAGTTATTTTTTTAGTTTTGTCATGCTTTTCAGAGACTATTTTACTCTGAAATCTGAAAGGATTTATTATATAAATGGATCATTCAATGCAATTAGATTTCAAAATTAGTTTTATTTTGTAGGTGTTGGAGAGCTGTACGTACGTAAATTAGTTTCTAATTTCTAATCCTTGTCTAGTCTAGTAAATTAGTTTAAAATTTTAACGCATTTTCGCTGAGCCTAGATCGACCCAAATTGTGTATTTAAAATTGAAATATGATTTATGAATTCACATGAAACCACTTTACTATGTATGTATACAACTAATTTAAGAATTTTTAAACCGCAAGTTATAATTACAGTTTTGTAAGATGCCTATTAAAACAGTTAGTAAAATTTGTGTGCGGATATCGATTTCTTATGAATCTCCATTACGCAAAGTTAAATCGCTCTAATTTGCAACTGGTATAATTAATGATATAAAGAGTGCGTTGAAGGCCCTCTTTCAGATAATAAACCATTAATGCGATAAGTAAAGGTGACTGTTGACTGTGCTCGCACGTAATTGAATAGTTTCGTCGATGTCATACTAATTAAAATTCGTTTGACAGTTTTGGCTTAAAGCTGCGAAGTAATGTATAGTATGCTCTATGGAAGTAATTCGAATGATGTCATCGACATTTTCATTGCTCATATATTGCGTTCCGACGACGGCACGGCCGGAGCGAATAGCAGACGAAGTGATATATAAATTCATACAAAGATATGGTAAACCCTTTGCGTGCCGTACGGCCGGTGTGGTCAGTATGACTATAACAACTTCAACAAACACCTTTTCAATCTAGGTATCATATACACATAATGGAAAGAACAGCCGCTTAACGTAGCCCGCTACTGGGCAAATTACCGTGTCTCGCCGGGTAACCTCCAGAATGCCATCACAGATGTGAGAGCGCTTGGAGCATTCTGGTAGATATGAATTTGCTGGAATAACATACGACCACATACCCTAAATCAGCAAAATACGCGTAATTTTAACGTCAAGTTGCGGAGACCCTCGTAGGAAGATGAAGAGCGCATTGAATCAATAAGTACATGGTTACCTAATCTAATTAACAAGAAGTATCATATTAAGTGTGTTGCTATAATGATTGAGATTTCCTACTATTATTTCATTAGATTTCTTTTAAGTTGCGCCATTAACCAATTATTAAATTATTTGTTTTTTAACTTGTTTTCGTTAATTTCATCACACCAGCCCTTTTACGTCCCCACTGCACGGGCTCAGGCCTTCCTTTTGGATGGTTAAGGAGGATGGGCCATGACCCTCCACGCTGGCCCAATGCGGATTGGAGGGTATTAACGACTGCAAATGCAGCCGGGACCAACGGCTTAACGTGCCTTCTGAAGCAAGGAGTAGCTCGAGATAATAATTTTTTGGTCATCCATCCCGTGACCGACCCTTGCGAAAGTTGCTTAACGACAACGATCGCGGGCCGCGGCGCTTATCCACTACGCCACCGAGCCACTAAATAATTTGTTCGTTAATTTGTTCGCCTGTAACTCCGCCCGCGTGACCATCCGCGTGATAAGGAATGGGTTTAATGATCACATCTACATTAAAATTATAAAGATAAAAGATTTGTTAATAAAAAATGTTTAAAAATCCACTTGCTTCATCCACTCTGGATTTTTTAAGCATTCTTCATCAAAAATATTTTTCGGTATAGCATTGTGAATGAAAAATTTACCGAATATAATAAATGAAAGATTTGATTGTTTGCATCAAATAGTCTTCGAATATACTAGAATAATTTAAAAAATTCTTTCAAGTACGGGAAGTTATATCAAAAGCGATTGATATCTTACTAATATTATAAAGGCAAAAGCTTGTAAGTTTGGCTACCTATTTGTTACTACTTCACGTAAAAACTACTCAACGGGTTCTGATGAATTTTAGTATACGGATAATTACAAGCCCGATTAAACTTATACTACTATTTAAACTGCTTAGCAGTTCTTAGGAACCACCCGGGCAACAGCGCTGGCGGAAAGCTAATAGGTTGTAAGGTGACAGAAAAACAGAAAATAAGAGCAACATTAGTATAAATATGTTTAAAATATTCAACTAAAAATATTTTTAACATTCACTTTTTACGATTAACTAGCTGTTTCCGGCGATTTCGTTCGCGTAAACAATGGCTTACGTAGGCGAAAAAACTTTAAAATCTAACCAGTAGTTTCGAAGCCTATTTAATGTAAACAAACAAAAAAATGTTTTCTCTTTACAATATTAGCATAGATTAAGAAAAAATAATAGAACCAGTAAAGTTGTTTTTTGAGAAATAATTATACGGCACAGCAGGCTATATTAGTGATAACGTTCTTTTCCTGGTTATCTAATGTGAAAGTTGTAATTGTGCTATACCCAGAGCTTGTTATAATAGAAATAACGATACCGCAATCATAAACGGTATGGATTTCTCTCGAACATGTCTTTATTCAGCAGTGATAGTCTGTTAAAAATACAGCGACGAATACAGCGCTTTCGTGCTATAGTGGTTCAATCAAATAAAACCTACTTGAAAAGGCAATAGGGTTTATTTCATTGAACCTCTATCGATCAGTTGCACAAAAGCCCATGAACGTTTAAGGACGCCTTTAAGCTCTAATAAATGTCAAATTTGTATGGGTAATGTTACTTTAAACTAATGAAAATATTAATGGACGTTCGTGCAACTGGCTGTATGTTGAGAAAGCGCTGTGCTTGACGTCGGGTTTGTGTCTAATTTTATTACAGAATATCA